TTGGAGTCCCTCAGCACGTCCATGACGATGGCACTGAGATGACATTAAATGGTACCCCACCATCCCCGGGCGGATCCCATGCGAACACGTGAAGCTGAGGGTTCGATCTGGGAGGAACCAGGTCATCTGACCTTTAAAATAGCTAAACCTGAATATTTTACCCTTTATCTTAAAATTCCTTGCTTCCGAGGGACTAGGCTTGACCTAAGCACTGTGGCCCCCGAGTCCCTGTCCCATAGCTTTAAAACTCCGAAATACATTCCTCTGAAACTCCCCCAAGGGTCGGTGCCCCCAGCCCTCATATTTAGCTGAGATAGAACTGGATATACGGTCGTTAAATAGCCATTGTGTTCTGTGGTCGACGCCACCGTAATAATCAGATCCGGTATTCTGTACCGTGTGCTGCTTGCTGATGGCGGCAGTTAGCACGGCTCGCCCGGTTTTTACCGGTTAAAGCGGGTGTGAACGCTGCGGGTGGGCGGGTCAGGATTTCAGATAAGTGGGCGGGACTCTTAACAGCTAGCAAGTTCCTCTAAGTGTGACTGCATCGCCGTGGAGACGTGACGTTATTACTGACCTCAGCGAAACGTGACGCATGACGGGATGCGCAGACAGGCCAATGCAGTAAACGGTCAGAGAATTTAAGAAACTCCCACCCTGCCTTACAACTGGAGAGTGATCCCCATGAAATACCAAAGGGTTTATATTGTCCAGAAAAACCTCCCGTCAGTTTGCTTTCTTGTGTTTGTCTGAGCGAGATCTCATGGCCAGGGGGCCACAGCCTGCACCGACACCACAAATGAGGCAGGGGGCGCTGTACACAGGAGTGAGAATGGTCCCTGTGAGTGGCATGTCTATGTGTGTGTGTGTGTGTGTGTGACAGGCGTGTGACAGGCGTGTGTGCCGCTTACGTTCTCCCTCACGCCGCGCCTCAAAGTCCTGGTCCCGGACGGCAGGGATTAGCATCCGCCCACCCAGGAGCGCCGCAGCCAGCCGCCGTCATGGCAACGGATCCGCACGGCGTTCCCGGTGCGGCTCCTCGCTGCAGAGCGTGGATCCGAACTCTGTGCCTGAGGGGTGGCGCGGGGGGGGGGGTGGGGACAGACAAATAATAAAAGGAAAACGTTGCGCCACTGAACCTGCGAAGCCAGCAGAAAGGGCCCCCCCCCCCCCGGGGCGGCCAGTATTGCACCAAGCCTTGATGATGGCAGTCTGGCCTGAGGTGGGACAGGGGGATGGAGACACAGACGGTCCAGTTCAGGCGGGGTCCGGATTCCCATGTGGGTCACAAGACGGAAATTGGCCATCAGACGGCGAGCGGAGAGAGCAGCGTGTGGCACTGTGTGACGTTTCAGACAGCGGTTGAGATTTCGACAGAAGGGTGACAAACATTTCTCAGAAGGATGGTAAGAAGGTAAACCGCAGATGACTGACCACTTTTCTACTGAACAGCAGGTCGCAGAGGCTCCGTCCAGCGGCTCCGGGATCGGAAAAAGGGAGAAGAGGCTCCCTTTGAGACAAACACATTTTGTAATGCACTTTCACTTCCCATAATGCTGTTATTTTAATAGACCCCCATCCCCCACCTTTGCCTTTACCCAGGGTGGGGGGGGGGTGTTTTTGAAAAAGTGTTATGAAAAATAAAGGTCAAGCGGGCAACAGGCTGGGCAGCAGGAATTTTACGGCGACGTCTGCAAACCTGGCATCCCTGTGAGTGCCTCTGGTCGGCCTGCCGACGTAAGGGGCAGGTCCTGATCGTACTCCTCAGGGCAGGTCCTGATCGTACTCCTCAGGACAGGTCCTGATCGTACTCCTCAGGGCAGGTCCTGATCGTACTCCTCAGGGCAGGTCCTGATCGTACTCCTCAGGGCGTTTCCTGAGTATCAGGGCCAGATCCAGGAGATCCTGATAGGCACAAGGGGGCCCAGACAAAGTCTAGAAAAATTATATGAAATATTTTCCTATATGTACTTTAGGGAAATGATGATAATTACACACAAATTTATATGAAAAAAATAAATCCCATCTATCCATTTTGTGTAATCGCTTTTCCTATTCAGGGTCACGATGATCCAGAGCTTATCCCAGAGGCTACGGGCGCAAAGCAAAAATAAAACCATATACATCAAATTAAAATGTTTATGCGCAGGCAGAAACATGGCCACCTCTTGCTAAAGGCAGAACAGGCAGCTGTCTAAGTCCCCTGAATTACGTCAAATGATCATCAGTTTTCTTGGTAGGGGGGCATCCCAAGTAAAATTTTCCTAGGGTTACTGAAAATGCAGATCTGGCTGTGGTGAGTGTACATTACTTAAGGGGAATTAGTATTTTTATCAGGATGTCGTGAATCCGCCTGATTGGGGAATCCCGTGCCATTCTTTTTAATTTCCCATATTGGTAAAAGAATTTTTAAAAACCAGGAAAGCCTCCACCCCCGGGGTCTGTTTTCTGCGATATGTGTTTGTGTACACGGCCCGAGGTGGACCTCCCCCCGCCCCAGAGACCACACCCCCTCATCTCTGCTCCGGCTCTGGGCCGGAAGGACAGTCCATAGCAGAGATAACAGGGACTCAGTCCGGTAGATGGCCAGCTGGAAGCAAGCCCACTTACCCCTCCCTGCCTCGAGCACACAACCGTGCAATCGGGGCACAGGCGCACACACACACACACACACACACACACATACGCACACACACACACACACAAACATATATGCACACAGTCATACACACACACACACATGTCAGGTAAACATATCTTTATGGGAACCGCTCATTAATTTCTATGAGAAAAATGCTAATGCTAACTATAACAACCTTAACCCCTACCAGGCCCTAACTATAACCATAGGTAACCAAGCGAAATACAAGACTTTTTTCATTTTTAGTTTTTTCATTGCAGTCACAGATTTTTATTAAATTGAGTTTTTCCTTATGGGGACTAGTTTCCTGGGGGGAAAAAAGAGTATTCATCATGTTGTGGGGACATTGTGTCCCGATAAGGAAAGGTATAGCCGCTCACACTCACACTCACACACACACACACACACACACACATTCTGCATAAATGCTGGATTAGAGTGCCTGAATGATTTAAATTTGATAGATGGATAGCCAGACATACAGAAAGACAGACTGACAGACAGATCATTTATCCTGAAAAAAATTACAGAAGTAGCACTGCGAAACACATAGCAGTGTACTGATATTTACACATGTGGACATTTAATTACTCTTTCAGAACTCCATCTATAAAATATTGCTTTATGAATAATGTTAACATATATCAGGCCTTCATTGGGCTAAAAAAACATAATTTCATTTTCCTCTGTACTTTAATACCGTTGAGAACAAATCTATGACATCACATTCAAATGATACATATTTGAATACCCACATTAACTGCAAAACTTTATTTTGGAGACAAAAAACTTAAGGAGTTGGAGATCATTATACGTATGGCAGCTTAGTGTATTAATGTGTAGCAGTGTGACCTCAAGTTTATTTTTTTGCAGGGGGGGTCTGCATGCTCTCTCCCTGCGTCGTGTGGTTTTCCATCAGCTACTCTGGTTTCCTACTGCAGTCAGGCGAATTGGTGTCTCTGAATTTCCCAGTGTGGCTACTCTGTGATTGACTGGCACCCCATCAAGGGTTTAACTGCTGCTTTGTGCCCTGTGCTGCCTGGGATGGGCTCCAGCGCCCCCCCCCCAACACACACACACACACACACACACACAGCCCTAACCAGGATAAGTACTTGGAAGCTGGATGGAAGTTACTTTCTAAGGGTAACCAACTAGCTACATCCACCAAAATTACCCTAACAACCCAGAGATGCCCCACACCTAACAGCTAAATAGTTATTTTTCGGAATGATATATGTTTCAGTAGAAGGTAAAATAACTTAAGGACTAAATAAAGGCGGTGCGCGCGCCACGTGTGCGCGTGCGGGTCAGCAGACGGACCACAAAGGCAACTGACTGTGAAAGGAAAACAGAACAGTTAAACTGCCGGGCGAGGGGGGGGGG